TGCCGGGGTGTCCAGCCGTGATCCCTTGCTGCCCTATTGGCAGTGCGTAATATGTCTCCCTGGCGAAAGACTCCATGTCTGAATACATGGCCGGTATAGCTTCGAAGCTAGGAATGGATGGATCAGAAGCTGGGTTGCGAATCTGTGTTGTAGGATCCCATCCAGCAATGGGTGATGAAGCATGGAGCGGGTGGTGAGGAAGTCTTAACAATAAACACCGGCGCGCTACCGAAAACATGTCGATATACGGTGCCTCGCGAAAACAGAAGGAACAATTCCTCTGACAGAGCAGATCGCACAGTTGGATTATCGAGACTTGCGAGGCCGTCCTAAGACATACCGCCATGCGAATCACATTGGGAGCATGCTGAACAATCTGGGCCCAGTCAGCTTTATCACTTCTGGCTTTACCCCATATGACGCTGGAAAGGGTACCTATACCCACCTTCTGCCACTCCAACATACCATCTACCACGACTCTGGCCTTGCGGTTGATACGACGGAAGACCAAGACGCTCGCCACGTCCATAACGCCAACGATTACATGCTGTATCTCAAGCGGCACTTTATCGAAATCGCCGAGATCTTCGCTGGGAGTGAGTGTGCCTTGTAAACCATGATCTAGGGGGCACTTGGCCTCGAGTATAGCGGGATCTAGTACATCTGTGTTGAGAATATCGAGAACCTCTTGGGTTGATAGAGGCATTGTGGAGAACTAATCTTTGGGGCGATGTATGTAGTTGAAAGATCCAGTCTGCAGCAATTCTGTATGCCAGGAGATTCTGTGTGGGCTATTTCTACGAATCGAAAGCAGTGAGATCGCGTCGACAATGTTGTCGGGTCGCCCACCTTCACGCCATACTACTCTGATCAAACACGGAAGTATAAGAAAGTCACTTTTAGAGAAATCTTCCAACCACCTTCCTGTTTGAGATCGTGTACATCACTGTTCTAGCAACGGAACATTGTGAAGATTTAAAGTAGATCAATGATGCTCCCATGTATGCATTATGCACATTGAATTGCGTACTTTGACAAATTGAAAGTGATGTATTGTGCGCTTGGAATCTTTTTTCCAGCATGCCTTAATGTTTCCTGCTCCACCGAGAACTTCTGATGTTCCCAACGCTTTCATCCCCTCTAGGAGCATGCGTTGTGGCTAGTGAGTACATATCATGTGGTCCTGCATCTCCTCCCTAGTATAGAAAGCGGCTGATTTAGCCCGTAGACCTTCACATAGCCGACAACTGTATAGATGCTCTACTTCCGATGACCTCGTTCTGAACCATGGAGCAACGACCAATGTTAGGATAAGCGCATAATCAAACCTCTCAAGAGGGGATGTAGCTAAGGCTTCAGGGGGCGGCATGAATTGCAACGCCCATCCATGTAAGTGCCGCAAAGACAACGTCGCGTGAGAGCTTGTTTTGTATGAAGTGTAGTATACTTGCCGCTCCGCTATCGTTCCGCCTTTGATGTATCGTCCAGGAACGGCAGAAAATGAGGGGTACTCCGCGTAGTCGTCCGTCTTCGGCGGGTTTTTGACAAATCCATTCTCCAGCATACTCCTCGTTAGAGGAGGGGAGATGATTTTTCCGCACTGGTCTCCCGTTTGGACGCAATGACGTGTAAGGCTGAAGACGCTAAAGTATGGTGCAGGCTGCTGACAGAAGGAACAGGTCCTACGCTCCAGCCTCTGCACAAGGCGAGGAAGTGTGAACCGATGCGCCGTCTTGATACCAACAGCCATCCGAACAACATTTGGCGCATTGTCGAGTACTTTACGCCAGTCTGGCAGATAATCAATGACTTGCATCGCCTTCTTGTTAACGCGGCGGACGATGAGAAGAGATGCCAAATCGCTATAACCCATTATCTTGTGCTCTATCTCTATCGGAAGCAGATCCAGTTGGCCTAAGTCAACGGCAGGTTGCAGGGTGTGGCGACCATAATCGAGTGGACAATTTCGAACGAGTACGCCTGGCCTGAGGACCTCTCCCTGGAAATATCCTAGGCTATTCTGCAAGGATGGCGGCATTTCGAGAGCAGTTGTGGAGTACGATAAACTTGCCCCGGCAAGATGTTAACGTTACAATCAGAATTAGACCCTTTTGGGGTTTAGATTGATGCCAATTTAAGTAACCTCGATGTGCAGCTGTTGTATCAATCCCGTGAGTCCAAGCAAGAGACGGCGCCCTACTCACTGTTGGCAGATTAAACCAATCACGGCACATGTAATCAAGTCACATTCTGTATAGACCATCTCTTTCTTCTTATTTCGCGCGTAGCAGGAGTGGTAGGAGTTAAAGAACATGTGAAGGAAGTCGTGTTTGACGTTGATGTCAGGGACAGGTAGGTGGCATCAACGAACTTCTCTCCACTTTCCAGGTAGATCACGGTGGAGCTTATCAGATTTTAGTGCATTCAGATCTCAGTGAACTTACATTGAGTAGGCAACGTCCAAGTATATCATGCACATATGCCTACATACAGATGTGTTTGTAAGCAATGCAAAACTCGAGCCTACTTTTACTTCTCGTTTTCTAAACGTGTACCATAATATCGATGTTTCTTGACCAAGGTCGAAGGAACCGCTATCAAAATAACGAGCTTTCCAATAAAGTAAGACCAATGTACTCAAGCGTTTCCCCAAACTCCAAAGTCGTCAAGCCTTTGTTGACAGCTAATACCGGTTCATCATCCAAGCGCTTCTCCCACACATGATTGATCCAGGTCTCGTTCGACATGCAATCTAAGGCCCGGCACTCGACTGAGATAGGTTCGCATCGCTATATGAAAGGCGAGACCACTTGAGTCGTGCTAGCTTAGTTGCAGATGGATTTCCATGGGTCAGGCCACGAGTTTCGGACTGTAGATTGACTGTCGAAACTCATTTATGGCAAGGATCGGGATAATCCACCGTTGATGATCGTTTCCTCAGCCAGGGAACGTTGACTAGATTGAATCGAGAGGCAAGTGGCGGCATTTCTTCCGGTTCCGCAGGACACCAACACGTATCAGTGCGTGTCGGCAACAGAGTTTGATGAGCAACTCTAGAGTCGTAGAGTCGAACACGAGACGATATGCTCGTACCCGAGCCGTACTCTCCAGGGATCGCTAAAAAGGAGGGAACGTCGGCAAGGCCTGGGCTGTTCACATCGCAAAGAGCCTCAAGTGTTTTCAGAGTCATGAGGTTTGTGGAATGACCGGGACATAGCGCCAAATCTCGACATAGTCGGGTCACGGTATAGACGTTGATGTAGGGCGCCAGGTGGCCGCAAGTGTCGCAATGTTTTTGACAGATTTTGTCTAGCAGTTGACAAAGAGTAAATCGGTGTGCGACTTTAGCGCCGATCGCCATCCTGATAGTGTCTGGGGCGTTGTCAAGAACCTACTACCGTAAGGCAAGCTACGAAATGGTCTTCTCTCAGGGGTCTATTCATACTTTTTTCCATGTTACCATACCATTGACGACATCCATGGCTTCTTGATTGACGCGACGAAATGTCAGGAGTGATTGAACATCCAAGCGCTCTAGGACCTCCTGTTTGATTTCCAGTGCGAGGATATCGAGAGCTCCGAGGCCCTCCTTGGGTTTGACTGCGTGCTTTTCATAGTCCAAGGGGCAATGTAAAGTGAGAACCTCCTTCGCGAGGACATCTTCGGCAAGCGTACGGATCAGCTCCCACTCGTCGGATGTCATCTTCCTGAGACAGAGACACAAGTCTTCGGTTGAAGTTCTGGTGCGTTAGTGTCGCAAGTGTTATGTTCCTCGTACTCAATTACGCCTGTGCACGAAGCAATGATTACCAGTGAGACTTAGAACGACGCGTGACGTCAGATCACAAGAAGCGGCGAGAGGGCCACCAGAGGTTTCTTCACTCCGCACTATTCAGAAGATGAGGGATACATGCCTTAACCCAGTGCAATGAGAATGACCATCCAAGCATCTTATCCCAATTTTGTTATTCGGACGGTTCATATTGTCTCGTTCTACAATAGAATCGTTGAAAAACGCTGAAACCACATAGTTGACAGATCGGACCTGTCTTCGGGTGCAGGAGCGTGATCACATAACATGTACAAGGCTTGACTCCTCTTGCTTGATGAACCTTCCATGAAAGCGAGTGGCCAACTCGAGGACAAATTGATAAGGAAGGTCTTAAATGTCTAGGCTAAGACGGAGTGTAACGTACGAACATGAGTACGTTAATTGCAACTCGAGGAGTTGATCTTGTCTCCGAACTAATCCGTGTTCTATCTATCCGAATACAAAACATTCCCTTGCCGACTTCCTGCTCGACTCACTCCATCTCAATACCATGCACAATTTTCAAGTCCTCAAGCTTCCTCAAGTCCGATCCTGTATACAGCTTCCACCTTCTTTCTTCGTGCATACTTATCAGATCTTCAAGGCGTCAGTATGGAGATTGCGCCAGTGTAATGGTTGTTGTTTCGACTCTTCGTACATCTTGCACGCGCTCTTGCATGGATTCTTGCAAGCAACTTTTGCATGATAACGTGTTCTCAAAAACCTGATTAGTGAAGCGTAGAGAAGATCTCTTGTAGAATCCAGGTCTCTAATGTAGTCGAGCGGATAGCGTTGAGAAAGAGTGCGGCTTCCATGTAAGTACTCGGTCTCGCCCTTTTTCTATGAAAAGCTTCGATGGCCGAATGAGAAGGGGGTGTAGTTAAGATTGCCGATTGCCAGCTTTCTGTAGATACTATATTCGAAATCTTGGTCAGTGAGGGTTGAGTCAAGTCTAAAGAGCGTAGAGGTTGGATCGGTTTATGTGAACACGAACACGAGTGGGTGTCTCCGCCCTTTTTTTGTGATGCACGTTCCCGCTCCTAATCGCCCCTGACCCACCATGTACAACATGATTTACGTATCTATCAAGCTATTTAATCATCTGTGTTCCTCCTGCTGATTTCTTCCTCGGGTTGCCGCATTCACAAATACCTTCCAGCAGCCACTATCTTTCACAATAAAACTCCTCGGCTCCGTGGTCTAGTTGTCATGATTCCTGCTTTGGGTCACAGCGTCACAGCAGTGCTTAATAGCAGGAGGTCCCGCGTTCAAATCGCGGCGGAGCCCGAGTTTCGTTGTATTTTTTTCTTTTGCGAATCACTTCCCTTCAGTACTGTGAGTGAGCGAGCGTACTGAACTCAAATTACCTGAACTTCGTTTCTCAATCTTGATAGCTAATGATACCACAAATATCAAGGAACTAAATGACCCGGAGCTAAAGTGGGAATTAAATATCTACACGCATTGAAAGAACATGAATGGCTTTCTGAATCCTAATGATCATAATGTATTGAACGAAGAGTCCATCTGGGAAGACTTTCATTAGGCTCTGGCTATCAGATGCAGGAGCGACAAGATTCTGCATCGTTTGGTCTGAGACCGACTGAACATAACACTATCAAGGCTACAGGGCCGCTGGGTGGACCTAATGTTCTGCAAAACCTTTACTTTCGGGTAACTAATATCTTACGATGTAAGTTCACCCTAAGCCTACTTTGTTAACCAATCTTTCAAGATACAAGTCGTTCGGAGAGCCGCTCTCCGGGGATCTGTGTCTTGGTTCTATAGCCAAAAGAAGAAAACCCCAGACAGCACTCGGCAGTGCTAGACCCCCTGCCAGATCTGACGCCAATCATCGATCGACATGCCCTCAGACTTCCCGCCAGGACTATCACTGGTTCTGGATCTTTGACGGGTCTCCGAGAATGCGATGAACCCCAAACGCAAGGTGAATCAATGTGGCTCAGCCCTCGAGGATGTTCTCACCTTGCTGCCACTATAGATCGCGCGCTGTGCTATTATGGGGTGTGCTTCCCTGTACACATGTACAACAAGATCAGACATGTAACATACCAGGGGCAAGACCAAGCACTTGGCCAAAATGGTATGTGTGATCTTACCATGTGCGACCCAACTCCAACTTCATCTCTCATATTGTTCGAGCCACCATGCTGCCCCTCCCGCATCTCCGCTATATTCACCAAAATGCACGTCCTCGACTTCAGCCGAATGCCCGCATGCGCACAGCACTGTTCAGTGCTCCACGACGCCGACTCTGGCTGCGTGCCACCGTCTGCCCCGGTCACCAATCAAGAAACGTATCAGCAATGTGTATGCGCTTCCACGCTGCTCACAAGCCTACATTCATCCGGTGCATTGTGCCAGGCATTCTGCTCCTCTGACGACTCGTCTGCAATCTCGCAGTACTATAACTCGCTTTGCAAAGGGCCCGTGGTGTATCCTGGATCAAGCAGCACGGCAACGGGAATAGATGCAGGGCAAATGAGTACGTGTCACTAGGTATCAACAGTCTGGAGCCATACATACTCACTAGTCACAGCAACGACCTTGTCCACCCCCCGAAACTTTCCCTCGAATGCCTCAACCGATCATGCATCCCACGCTACCACCTCACCCAGAATCACACTGGGCATGATAATCGCAATAATACTGGGTGGAATTTCGGCGATCACACTGATATTGTTGGGACTGTGGATGTACAGAAGAAGGATCAGGCCAGTTCGCCCAACGACGATCTCAGATGATGAAGTGGCCGAGCTCGATGGACGTGAAGTGCGTAGAGCAGAATTGGCAACTGCAGCTAATACTGCTGAGTTGGATTCCAAGGAGAAAAAAGGAGAGTTGGCGAGCGCGACGTGATTGGGCGAGGGAATATACTTTGCGACTCTGTTCGAAAGTCTTGAAGATCGCATTGATCTATTGTCACAATGATCGCCCTTGGCCAAGCTCTAAAACTTTTCCTAAGGACCTTTGGCTTCGTGTACGCTCTTAGCGAGCTCTTCGCAGCTCGTGCAGAAGCCAAATGTCTTCGCCGCATTGAACTCAAAACACTGTTGTGCATACTCCGGACTCGAGGTGCCGCATCCGTCACTCAACAACACACAATCATACCCTTTGCTGAACGAATCCGTCAGCGTACCACCGACACACTGATCAGTGTTCACACCAGCAAAGAACAAGGTCTTGATGCCCTCCTCTTCCAGAAACTCTTGACAAGGAGTAGATCCTCCCCACATGCCTGACATGCGATTCTTATGGATCCAGATATCCGGCCTACTTTCCAACTTCGTGCCTTCGAGATACATGGAATCAAGCGGCGGATAAAGCGCAGCATTCCAGGTATCCCGCATCAGCAGCCTTCCCGCATCAATCTCCTCTCCCTTCTCAGTCTCTACAAGTCCGCAATGCCCACCTAAGCCTCTGTATACTTTTTTCTGCTTCTCGTGCCCATGTTCGAGCGTCAGATGACCACCCCGGAACTTCTCTTCTCCATCCTTATCCAGACCAACACCATGTTCATGCTCATCCCAGCCATTCCCATACTCGATCCCGTCTTCGTCGGGTACGGCCTCGAAGCCAAAAGCGCGTTTCACAGCGGGTGGCATGTCCCTCACTTCCTGTTCAGTCAAGCCCCAGTTTAGCCAAATAATTCGGATCCCCGCTTTGCGAGCCGCAGGGATTGCATGAGTGATGAGATTTGAGAGAGCACGGTGACCGGCTGAGTCTTTGGAGCGTCCGAAGGAGGGCGAGAGAAAGAAATTCTGCATATCTATGATGACCAGAGCTGACTTGGCGGGAGATATCGTGATGGGAGATGTTGTGGTTTGTATGGTGACATGCGGAGTCGCAGGGACGGATGAGGTGGAATTGGGATTGTGTGTGAGATCGAAGCCAGTTGCAGTGTGGTGCCGCCAAAAGGAAGTTGCGGAGCCGATGTGGGCTTTGCGGTTTGTGGTGATCGAACCCATTGGTGTTCACCAATTGTGATTTGGAAACCTGAGGTGGATCTAGAACGAACCTCCGTTGGAGCAGAGATTGATGAAATAGGCCTGGAAGAGCGAGAGAGGTGATGCTCTCATCTATTGTAGCTGCATAGTTCCTGATAAGGGCGATCTGTGAGTTTGCCGCAGCGGGGTAGGTAGGCGGATGCCTATCGCGGGCAACTCCACATTACCCGCGGTCAAGATGAAGACGATTCGTCCCGTGATCCCGGTTTTCTCAAGCAATGATTGATATAGAAGCTTCTATAATATGCCATTTGGTGTGTTTGAGGTCTCTGAGCGAAGTCTGAGGGGACGTCGCTAGTGCTTTCCCAACCTGGACTAGTGACGTAGGTGGACACAATCTCGTATCCGACCTCGCAGCTCAGCCTTCTCTTGCATACCCAGTCATCGCGGTGTTGCCTTCAATCATCATGTATCACTTGAGCTCCAAAAGCGACGGAAGAGATGGAGTCAGTAGCCGCAGCCAGTCTTGCTGCCAATATCATCCAGTTCGTGGATTTCGGCGCTCGTGTGATCAAGCGATTATACGACTTTGGAGAAAGCCAAGGCGAGATTCCAGAGATCTTTCGCGGGATTAGTGTACGACTAGGGCTGCTAGTCGAAAGTCTAAAGCTTTGTAGCGCTGACGGGCTATCCCAAGAGACACAAGTCGCTTTCAACAGAGTGCTTACCAGCTGTCATGCGCATGTTCAACGACTGGAGAAGATCTTGACTGATACGTTGCCATCAAAGGGAGATTCACGGCTCACAAGGAACCGCAAAGCATTGGTGAGCATCGGCAAAGAGAAGGGAGTTCGCACCATCGACTGCGAGCTCGGCCGCTGCATCGAGATTCTCACACTTCACCATGTCTTACCTCAACCATCGAGAGTCCTGCAAAAGATAGATTCGGGGACGGCTACCAATACGGCACAGGAAAACCGCCGTTGTCTGTTCTTTGAAGTTCCACAGCGACAAGTTTTCCAATTTGTGGGGCGAGAAACGATTCTCGAGGAGATCAAGCAATGTTTCGATACAAGCGCAGTGGTGGTGCTACGTGGCATGGGAGGTCAAGGGAAAACTCAACTCGCTCTGGAGTTCTGCCGCCGGGCTCGAAACGATGATCGCTATGCAGGTATATTTTGGGTAGATGCAACTTCCGAACGGCAACTCCGGAGAGACTTTGAGATGATCGCAGAAATGATCAAGCCCCCTGGCCGTATTTTCGAAAATACGGACCAGAGCGTTGCATTCGTCAGGAAGCAGTTGCACACTTCGCTCCGTCTTTGGCTGCTTGTGTTGGACAATCACGACAATCCGAGAGGCTTTCCCAACGTATTAGACTTCCTACCCATCGACGGCGGCCACGTCCTATTTACAACACGTCACAGCGATGTAAGTCGATACGGCACATCCATAGAGCTGGTGGGGATGTCAGTGGATGAGTCTGTCGACTTGTTCTTCAACAGAGTCCAAATGGATGATCAGGAAGAGCATGTAGAAGATGCGAGAGAAATTGCTAGAAGGCTAGGCTACCATCCTTTAGCCATTGACCAAGCTGCCGCATATTTCAACAAACGCAAGACCACTCTTGGACTGACACATTTCCTACTGCATTACAAACAGCGAAGAAAAGAAATCTTAAGCAGCGTACCGAATGCGTGGGAATACAAGAGAAAGGAAGACGGGAGCGAACAAGAAGTGGCTTTGAGCGTATATACAACATGGCACTTGTCGTACGAACAGCTGCGAGAAAGCAAATTCGGCAAGGATTACTCGCAACTGCTGATTCTTCTTGGGTTCTTCCACTACTCGGATATCCCGGAGATTGGTTTCCAAGCGTTTTGTGAATCTAGGCTACCAAATGTGGCTTTGCCAAGCTGGATGAAACTCTTCATCACACACGAAAGATTCGATCACGACAGATTTGAGGATGGCCTCATTGAATTGAGAGACTTGTCCCTGATCGAAGGGCATCATAGAGATGAGGATGGAATGGTGTACGCTTCAATGCATCCGTTGGTCAAGGACTGGATTCACATTTGGTGTGAGCCTCACGTACGATATGAACTGTCCATTCTTCAGGCACAAATCATCGAGGCGCAACTACAGCTAACGGAACCTGACGCTTTTCCGTGGTATCGAGTGGACGGTATTCAAACCCTATCATCACACATAGCTGCCATGGAGGATAACTACCGAGCGTACGTGCGACATCAATTAACCCCAGAGGATCTCGATAAGTTTATCAACGTTGCCAGAACAGTCGCATGTTTTCTCGAC